TCTTAGTTGTTTGAAGGTTTGATTGTGTGTACCTAAGTTGAGGTTACTCTCTACTGTCTTGCTTTTTCTTTTCCTGTGGTTTGGTGCTGCCTGTCTTTTCATGGTTAAGTTGGGTTTCACTTTCTGTGTGCAGAATCCCTTGAGAATCTTTGTAGTGGTGGCTTTGTGGTCACATATTGTTTTAGTTTCTGCTTATCATGGAAGACTTTTATTGCTCCATCTATTTTGAATGATAGTTTGCTGGGTAGAGTATCCTGGGGTTGAAGTTATTTTCATTCAGTGCCCGGAAGTTCTCACCCCATGCTCTTCTTGCTTTTAATGTTTCTGTTGAGAAGTCTGCTGTGATTTTGATGGGTTTACCTTTGTATGTTACTTGTTTTTTCTCTCTTACAGCCTTCAATATTCTTTCCTTAGTTTCTGAACTTGTTGTTTTAATGATGATATGTCGTGGGTAGTTCTATTTTGATCTGGTCTGTTTGGTGTCCTGGAGGCCTCTTGCATCTGTATGGGAATATCTTTCTCTAGATTTGGGAAATTTTCCGTTATTATTTTGTTAAATATATTATGCATTCCCTTTGCTTGCGCCTATTCTCCTTCTTCGATGCCCATGATTCTCAAGTTTGGTCTTTTGATGGAGTTGGTGAGTTCTTGCATTTTCTTTTCACCAGTCTTGAGTTGTTTAATTAATAGTTCTTCAGTTTTTCCTTTAATTACCATTTCATCTTCAAGTTCTGAGATTCTGTCTTCTGTTTGTTCTATTCTGCTGGATTGGCCTTCCGTTTTGTTTTGCAGTTCTGTTTCGTTCTTTTTTCTGAGGTTTTCCATATCCTGGGTGATTTCCTCTTTAATGTTGTCTATTTTTGTCCTGAGTTCATTTATCTGTTTATTCATCGTGTTCTCTCTTTCACTTTGGTGTTTATACAGTGCTTCTATGGTTTCCTTTATTTCTTCTTTTGTTTTTTCAAATTCTCTATTTTTGTTGTCTTGGAATTTCTTGAGTGTCTCCTGTACATTTTGGTTGACCCTATCCAGTATCATCTCTATAAAATTCTCATTGAGTACCTGTAGTATGTCTTCTTTTAAATTATTCTTGTGGGCTTCATTGGGTCCTTTGGCATAGTTTATCTTCATTTTGTTGGAGTCTGGATCTGAGTTTCTGTTTTCTTCATTCCCCTCTGGTTCCTGTACTAATTTTTTGCTGTGGGGAAACTGGTTTCCCTGTTTTTTTCTGTCTTCCCATCATTGTCTTTGGTGTTGTTACTGTCCCTGTACTGTGTGCAATTAAGTATTTTCTAGCTTGTAATAATAACAATGGTAATATTTAGAATGGAAGGGTGAGCTGAGATGGAAAGTGAGAAGTTAAAGAAATGGGAAAAACAAATACACAGACTGGAGGGAGAAAGCAGAACAAGATGTCAGACAAGGAGATTTCATAGGTATAAACAGGGAGCTTTAGTGTACTAATTAACAGTAAGCTGAACAGACATTAGAGATACAGAGGATTGAAAATCAAAAATAAAAAAAATAAAGGTAAGAAAAATAAAAAATAAGTAAATGAAAGAAAAATCTATTTATAAAAATGTATTAAAATAAAATGAAAAAATAGAAAATTTAAAAAACCAAAAAACCAAAAAATCTCCAAGTTCAAATGCAGTGAAGTCACAGTCTCCAATCCTGGAGATGGTGCCTCAGATGTTGTTCTGTAGTTGTCTCATCAAAGGGGACACATGAAGAAGAACAAAACTACACACACATGCACAAAAATAACCCCACCAAATGTCCCAAGTTCAAATGCAATACAGTTTCAGTAAGTTTTTCAGCTTGCAGGTGTAATTCGGTTGTTATCTCATCAAAGGTAGGGAGACAAAGAAAAAAAGAGTCTGGAGACAGTTCTGAGAATGGTTTCTGCAACTGTGGCTTGCCTGCCCGCTGTTGTCAGCCTGCTGTTGCTGGAAGCATTATTTATGCAGATCTCTGGGGTGAGCTTAGCACTCACCTGGCCCCACAGGCTTTGTTTGCTCAGATTTCTCCTGTGCGTGAGCCTCTGCTACAAGCTTTCCCCTTTCCAAGCACTGGGAAAGGTGACACTGCACCCGTGTTCTCAGGCCTGCGTGTTTATTTACAGTTCATGTGGGAGGTGGGTCTTCCCCCCTCTCCTGTACAGTTCTCCTCCCACCGCCACTTTCACAAGCTTTCCTGCTCCTGATTACTGGGCGGTGCTGCTGCTTCTGCCAGCCGCCATGTTTGTTTACAGCTCACATGGGAAGTGGGTCTTCCCTCCTCTCCTGTGGAGTTTTCCTCCCTCTGCCACTCTCACCAGCTTTCCCACTCCTGGTTGCTGGGCGCGCACCCCCGCTCCTGCCAGAGGCTCTCTGGCCTGCCCTGCTTGTTTATTTACAGTCCCGGGAAGGATTCCCTTCCCCCAGTCTTCAGCGCTCAGTGCGCCCCACCCTCTTTCCTGCGTGTCTTATTTGTTCTTATTGCTTATTACTCAGTTTCTCTTTTTTTTTCCCTGGGTGGAGGTCAGTCTGTCCAGGGGGCTATGCTGCTTCGTGGTACCACGAAGCTCACCTGGTTTGCGTCTTCCCAAGCCCTCTGGGCGCCGGCGACTGGCGGCCCGGGGGCCCTCCTTGTTTCTCCGTTTAACGTGAAGTGGAGATTCTCTGTGCCAGCAGGAGGTGTGGAGGTGTCAAAGTTATGCCTTTTCTCAGTGATTATGCCTGCAAAGTGTGTCTCTGGTGTCTCTCCAAGATTTCACTATAGGAGGCTTGCTTTCTGCTTCCTCCCTCTAGCCGCCATCTTGGAATCGACTCAGCAATTCTTCTTTTCCCTTCAGCAATTCTTCTTTTCCCTTCAGCAATTCTTCTTTTCCCTTCAGCAATTCTTCTTCAGCAATTCTTCTTCAGCAATTCTTTTCCCTTCAGCAATTCTTTTCCCTTTAGCAATTCTTTTCCTTTCCAAAAGCCTCCCACAACAAAAAGCCAAAAGTCCAAAAGCCAGAAAACCCAAAAGCCAAAAAGCCAGAAAACCCAAAAGCCAAAACCTCAAAAAACCAAAAAGTAAAAGCCCCCCCACATCCTCCTTCAGTGAGTCTTTTATATCCAGTGGTAAACAGGGTGGAGCAGTAGGCTCTCAGGGAGGGGCGTGACATTACAACAGGAGAAACCTGCCTTCCTGCTTCTCTTGCCATAAACAATTTAGGAGAAGCAGCTATTCTGCATTTTCTTCTTCTTTGGCCGGGGGCTGTGGCAATCTCAGCCTACAGATAAGCATCTTAGGAAAAAGCAACTGAGCTGCATCTCGCTTTGCTTATGTCTGGGTCTCAGGCTTCTCATAATCCGCTCTTAATACCTAGTGGCCTGATATAGCCATCATTTCAAATATCAGCTAAAAAATAAAGTCTTGGTTCTTAATCACCATTCTCTTCAGACAGACTATTATGAAGAGAAAGAATGCCATTGTCTTAGGAGTACACACAGAAGAATGGAAAAAAAGGAATGAGGTCTGCTTTTCTGTCCTGTGGTATAAGGAAAGCAAAACTAGTTGAGAAATGTCCAGTAGGATTTTTGTCTCTAATAGTAGGAGTAGCCCTGGGTATTTCAACAGAAACATTCATTCGGCTCTTTTACTAGACTGCATCAACACAAGGAAATGAGTTCATGGAAGACACATGGATTGCATAGCAACTGCTCTTTCTTGGTGGGTATCTGGCTTCAAAGTGACCCAAAACTGGCTCCCCCAGAAGTTTTTGTTCTGTTTCCATCAATGTCTGTCCTGGTTGTTAGAGAAAAGAAAGTCTTTCATGGGTAAGGCCTGAAGATGGTATATTTTGCTTCTGTTCAGTCCATCGGTTAGAATTCATAAACATGGCTGCACCTAACAGCACGCAGTGGGGTGGGTTTGGACGTACAACTTCTCACAGTCAGAGGTGCAGTGTGCCCAGGCAGAAGTGAAACCATGAGCACATGCAAGGAAGCTGGGATTGATGTCCCTTTAGAGAGGGACTAGGGAGTATTTTGAAGACTCTTCAGTTCTGTGCTGAGAAAGATAAGATAAATACTGGGGAGTCATTAATGCCAGCTAAGCTTGTCTTAGCACCAATGTACTTGCTTTTTAAAAGAACTCCATGAAGCTTCATGTGGAACTCACTAAAAATAGGCTCTTAAAGGAATTAGGGAACTGAGACTCACATCCGCTAGGACCCTCTTCTGCATCGAACACTCCAAGTCCCAATGTCACTAAGAGTAACATAAAATGCCCTTCTCCATTGAATGTCACTTGACCAGTGCAGCCATTTTGTGGGTGGCATCTTTTTTTTTTTTTTTTTATTATTATAGTATACCCTGTATTTTAGCTGCAAACTGTTGTAACCTACTCTGGTGTGTATTTTCTCAATGCAGTGTGTAGTCCTTCTCTGCATTTGTAACATCCTTGCTCTTAACTTCCCATGATCAGTTGCTTTGGACATGGAATGAATGCAGTAATGTCGGGTTGAAAGAATGGTGGTTTAGCAGGCTTTCTGAAATTAATAAAAATAACCTAGATCTTATGGTTTCAGTCAGACACCTGACCCAATATTGATCAGAATTGGTTAACTCATATAAATCATCACAACACTTTTTGCAGTGTGAGTAGAACAAATCTCAGTGGCTTGTTGAGGACTCAATAGCAACATTCTAAGCCCTAACTACTGGCATACTGTGCAAATGCAAGTGCTTATGGATTCTCTGCTGGGAAGGTACCACTCTCTCTTCCCAACTGGAATGGAATTGTCAAGCATTCACACTTTGCAGTGGCTGTTCCTGAGGTGGACTTCCAGTTTTGTTCAGGTGCTTCCACAGACAGTGTTTCAAATCATGGCTCTGACAAAACCAAACTAACCAACCTGTCCACCCAGAGGTGTAGACCAGTCATTGTACATGGGTTCAATTGATGTGCAGGAGTTACTCTGAGAAGTATCATACTCCTAACTGTTATATATTCTGTTTTTATTAACTCAGATAAGTCTAAATTATACAAAAGGCACATGAAGCAGAAATTCCAACTCATATGGCAAACAGAAACCTGCCTCCCAATTCCTGGGTATTTCTACAATGAGACCATTAGGAATGAATACATAGCGTTGCAGGACATCTATACTGCTGAGACTGGGCCAGTCACTGTAGCTTTGAGAGGTGATGACGGAATTGGGAAAACAACCTTTCTAAGAAGAGTGATGTTAGACTGGGCTTCAGGAATCTTCTTGAATGAAAGATTCAGGTTTGTTTTCTTCCTCACTGTCTGTGACATGAACTCTATGATGCAGACAAGCCTAATAGAGTTCATCTCCAGGGACTGGCCAGAGTCTTCAGGGACGATTGGTGATGTTTTTTCCCAGCCAGAGAGAATTCTGTTCATCATGGATGACTTCGAGAAACTGAAATTTGACTTGGAACTCAGGACTAACTTGTGTGATGACTGGAGACGAAGGCAGCCACCACAAATTATCTTGAGCAGCTTGTTGCAGAAAAAATTGCTCCCTGAGTCTTCTCTGCTTCTTGCATTACAAGATGAGCATATGCAAGACATTTATTTCCTATTGAAGTATCCAAAGGACATATTTTGTACAGGGTTATCTGAAGATTCAAGAAGGCTGTATTTCACCTACTTCTTCCGTGCAAAGGACAAAGCCTCAAGAGCCCTCAGTTTTGTGAAGTCGCAGCCACCGTTCTTTTTAGTGTGCAGCAATCCCTTTCGATGCTGGGTGATCTGTACTAGTTTAAAGTGGCAGCTCGAGATAGGTGATGACCTTGAACTTCACCCTGGTAGTGCTGCATCAGTTTTTGTAACTTTTTTCAGAAGTGCATTCAAAGCAAGAAGTGAAAATTGTCCATCTAAGAACAAAGCCCAATTGAAAAGCCTGTGTGCCCTGGCTGCAGAGGGAATATGGACTCATACATTTGTGTTTAGCTGTGAGGATCTCAGGAGGCATGGGGGCTCTGAATCTGATGTCTTGGTGTGGATGAGCATGAGACTTCTCCAAAAGAAGGGTGACTGTTTTACCTTCAAACGTGTGTCTATCCAAGACTTTTGTGCTGCTCTGTTTTACTTCCTCAAAGAGTCCACAGACCATCCTAACCCTGCCATTGGCAGTGTAGCCCAGCTGGTAACAGCTATTGTGGTTCACAAGCAACACTACTTGATCCAGCTAGGAATATACCTGTTTGGAATTTTACCTGAAACAATGAACAATCATCTGGAGACATCCTTTGGCTTTCTACTGTCAAAAGATATAAAGCAGGAAATAATACAATGTTTTCTAAGCATAAGTCAATGTGAGCACAACAAAAACATTAGTTTCCAGCAAGTGTTCGGTTATTTGTTTGAAACCCAGGATGAAGAATTTGTAAAAAAAGTGATGGATTTATTTGATGAAGTGTCCCTTACTTTTTCTGAACTTGAGCCATTTATAATGGCTTCATTCTGCCTGAGGCTTTCTCAAAAGCTAAAGAAACTTCGCCTGCGTGTACATAAGATCTCTTCGTATAAACACACTGCCTCTGCAGGGTGAGTGCATCTATGAACTTCACCTACCATACTTGTCGTTTGCTCCTGTCAAATGGGTGTTTCCTGGGTTCTTATACAATTGGTCAAAAAGGCCTCCTGTTGCTCCTGGCACTGCCATTTGTGAGCCATGTGACCATGAACAGCTTTTTGAGTTTTCCCATCTGTACAAAGAGGAATAGGTATTTCATCCACTTCAGAAGGCTAATGCATGGTAGAAAGATGAACAGTTTTCACGATGGCTCTCTTCCCTTCTCTATGGTGTGTTTAGTATATCCTGGTGATGGCACTGCGGGGGGTGGGGAGGCGGGGACTCCTGAGAACTTGTGCCTGGTTTCCACTGGCTTGTACCTATGTGCCTCTTTCCTCTTCTGACCTTGCCTTGCATCTTTCATTGGGTTTGGGATACCAGTGCACACTTGAGCTCTCAAGTGCATGTCTGTGGATGCAGTTTGCTGTTCATCGATGGGTCACCCAACATCCATCCCTGTTCAAAGGAAATCAAGTAATGGAAACAGTAAGCTTGGGTATCTTGTCTCGGGTCACATAGCTCATAAGTGACTCCACTGGGATTTGATCCCAGTTATTCTCACCTGAGTTCATTTTCTTAACCACTATGCCATGGTGACTCCAGTGGCTGAACGTCTCTCTGTTCAAGCCTGTTTTGAAGGGTTTAGGAATGGTCTTTCTATGGGGAATGTCTTGATTTGAATACAACCAATAGAAAATCATGTTCTCTTTTCCCACAGTAATGACATACAATACTGGCAGGACTTCTGCTCAGTGTTCACCGTTAGCCGGAACTTACAAGTGCTAGAATTGGACAACTGTAACCTCAATAACTGCTGCATGGGGGTTCTTTTTAAAGCACTGGCTCAGCCTGTTTGTAGTCTTCGAAGCTTGTCGTAAGTTTGGCATCTCCCTGTCCTCTAAGTAAATAGAAGCTTCCTTTCCCCTTCTCTCACTGTTTTGGAGAAAACCTCTGGATAAATGCAGGACTGCAAATTAAAGTGTTCATTATAACAGCAGTCACATTTGACTTTTGATGTCATAGTTTATATATACACATATATATATATATATATATATATATATGTATTTATATGTATTTTTCAAATACCTAAATATCTGGTATACATATGTATGTATATATACATATGCATATGTAAGAGCTATATGGCCTATCTATCCTATGATTAATCTGTCTCAAAGCTAATGAGTCGACCACATTGTAGACATTAAAATGTTTGTTTCTTAATCATGGTGACAATTACTATTATGAAGAAAGTGGACAATGAAAAAGTTAGGTAATTGTCTCTGCCTTGTAAGAGAGACAAGGAGAGAAGTCAAAATTTGAATCCAGTTTTCTTTGACTCTGGAGCCAAAGTCAATGACTACTACAAATATTGTCTCCCTAATAAAAACTTAGTTCTTAAACAGAAATGGGTCCTTTGCTTGGAGTCCATGGTCTGAAATGCTAATATAGATGAGCATCCCTGCTGTACTTGAGCACTGTGCTACATTTTGGAATGTAAAGAGGTGCAAGCATAGATTGTCCCTGTCCTTACAGGGATCAGAGTTTAAGGTGGGCTAAGTCTCAATTTCCTTATAATGCCCTTGATGTTAGTAGAGGTGGAGGGACTGGGAGCAAGCAGAAGAGATCTAAGAAGCTTGAGCCTTGGTGTTTATAAGATCCTAGTGAAATAACTTATGAGTAGGGGTAACCTGAATGCCAAACTGTGGGAAGCTAACAACGGGAGGGAAGATTAGTGCAAGAGGTGTCTTGCTTTGTGTTTGCTCATCCTGGCATGACTCACTCCGTCCTCATCTTTTTCAGGTTTAACTTTATGCCTAACTTAGGAGACGGTGCAGACTTCTCAAGGGGAATTATTCATAATCCTCAACTGAAACATCTGAATCTGTATGGTACTGGTTTCTCCCATTCTGGGATCAAATGCCTGTGTGAGGCACTGCAACACCCAGTGTGCAACGTGGAAGAGCTGGTGTAAGTCAGTAGGCTGGGTGTGCTGAGTGTTCTCTTTTCCAGTGTGAAGTTTGACCTGTGAATTTGCCCATTTTCTTTCCTGGAAGCCATTGCATCTGCTTTTGTCTCTTGTGTTTTCATTTTTTATACTCTCTCTCCCTCTCCCCTTCTCCCTCTTCCCTCCTCCCTCTCTCTTGTAAAGTAGGGATGGGTTCCATAGAGCATGGATTCCTCTCAGAAAGTTGGTTCCACCTTCCCTGTCCCTGAACTCACTTTGGTCACTGCTCTGCACCTCTCCTGTGACACTTCTTGGCTTTCCTCTCACTTGACATTCCTGAGCTAGAACTCCATTTCCTGCTAAGGATGTTCATAGGAACTTAAAGCTAAAAAGCACATTTGTGATCACAAGGGTGAAATCTGACCTGGCAAATGACTACACTGAGTCAGAGGGAAAGTGATTGACCAAAGTATTTTCTTCCTTTTGAAAATGACCTGGGCTTCCCCCATCCTAACTGGTGACCTCTAGGCAGGGCCAATCTATTTTTCACCAGAAATAATACAGAAAAGTCATTGAGATGGAAGTGAGCAAAACCAATTCATTAAAAACACCAAGGGAGTGTGTGCTCTTCTCTCTCCAGCTCACTCTCTTCCTTGCAATAACCATCACAAATGATTGGGGATTTATGTATGTCCTGTTAATTATACACATCATGCCTCACGGGAGAAATAGGAGGGTCAATGCATGAGGTTATTTGAGCATGTCCGTTTCTATTGATCTCCTTCACTATGAGTTTTTTTTTTTTGGTTTCTCTCTCAGGGAAAATTTACAAATTCTTTAGTATTTGGCCTCCTGTTTCATAGGTACAGCATTTTCTTAGAGTTTATATATTACATGTTAACAAGAATTGGGTAAAGAAAGCAGGAGTTAACTGGATATTTTGTGGTTGGAAATGTTGCCTCCTTTGAGCAGACCAGCTATGGTCTTGACCAAATTCAGTTTGGTTTTGGGGGTGGGAGTTGATCACAGTTAGGTCAAGCTCAGGGGTTGTTAACATGGGTCAATTTTCTCTTGTAGTTACCAATGTTTGGCAGCTGTTCTACCCTATAAAGTGCATTAGGGGGAAATTAGTGACCCTTCTCTTCTAGTGGGTGGGAGGGGGTCAGCTTAGCTTATACAGAGTGGGCTGTATATCTTTTTCTTGCACCAGTTGGGGGCCCTGGTACTGGACACAGTCACCTGTTAACACAAAAGCTCCATCAAGAACATTGATAGATACCGCTGGCTATTTTGTGGGTTTCTTGATACCTTTATGACTAGTACCTATATTCTACATCAACCATTATACTTTGTCATTGTTTAATTTTATGATAATACTATCATAAACTTGTTAGTCACAATTTGACAAAAGTTCCATGTACTGATCACCAAGCTTCCTTCAAAGGTAACATCTTCTTATATAATACATTATCAAAACGGGGAAACTTGTTGAGTATGGTGGTACACACCTGTAATCCCAGCACTTGGGAGAAGGAGACAGATAGGAGGATGGTGAGTCCCAGAACTGCCTGTATTACATAAGACTTTGTCTCAAAAAATCAAGAAACTAATGCAATGGACAAAGGTATTTTGAAGATACACTTTAGGTTCCCCAGAAGTTTCATAATCAACAGTTCTTAGAATTTTAAAGTTCAATTGATTACTGAGTTACCGAGTATTAGTTTCTATCTTCATAGAAGGAAACCATCCTCTGCATTTCTATGTCCTTCTGTATTTAATATTGCCCATCAAGATTCTTCTTATAATTTAAGGATGGATCTGATTTCCCCATCTTGTGTAATTCAGGAGTGAATTCAGTGATGACAACTTGGTAATTGTCTTTTTTCACCTTTCTACCCCATTCCCTACAATACCCTCAAAATTCACTGAGCTTCCTACACTTGTGGATAAATGTTTGTGCACCTTTATGCTTCTACCTTGCCATTATATATTCTTATTAGCATAAATTATGCAAAGGGGTTTTATTGTGATATTTTCATATATGCATATAATGTGATTTGATCATATTCACCCTCTATTTCTTTTCCTTTTTTTCTAGTAGTAGGATTTGAATTCAGGACCTCAAACTCTGCCTCATGCTTGCTAGGCAGATGCTCTAACACTTGAACCACACTGCCAGCCCCCCTTTTTTCTAATCTACTCCTTCCTTATCCCCCTTAGATTTTAGTTTTTAGTGATTTCATACATACACATACATAATGTAGATCAATCACATTGACCTCCCATGGAACTTTCAGCCCTATGTCCTATCCTCAGGGAGGAGTTGATGAATCATACCTATGTTGCAAATGGAGTTGATTCAACCACAATAAAAATCACAAAATTAGGAAATTCAGAGAGCTCCCAGGTGGGCAAATGTATCTATGCAGAGTGTCCACCTCTGTGAAGCTGAAGCCTTTGTGTTTGGGATCCTTCTAGACCTGGTCCTATGTATCTCTAGCTGGCTGTCTTAATTAGCCTTTATTATGTTATTATACTAAACTGGAAAATATGCACATCTCCCTGAGTCCTGTGGTCTCTTTGGTCATGGAAAGCTCGATTTACAGGCGGTTGGTCAGAAGCACAAGTCAAACTACTGGGTGTTGTGACTGACATTTGGAGGGGTACTGTAGGAACTGAGCTCTCAGCCAGCAGGGTGTGACTAACTCCAGGTAAGTAGTGCAGGATTGAGGTTGACGTCTGCTGGAGAAGTGCTGGGTATGTGTGACCACGCCCCTTTCCCCATTTTGGTGAAATGTTGCTCTTTCTGTGTTGAATGTTCCGAGTGTTGTATTGAGTGTAAGAGTAGGAAAGTTTCCCCCTATCTATTACTGTGATGTTTACAATGATATTGTATTCCTGATAACCCATTGTGGTGAGGGCTGTCCTAAGTATTGTAGGATGTGACATCCCTGGCCTCCACCTACTGGTGCCAACAGCACCTCAATCCTCAGTGGTGATGAACAACAATGTCCCAAAACATTTCCAAATGTATCCTGGAGGGTAAAAACCACCCTAGGCCAAGAACCACTGGCTTAGACTAACTTCACTGGAGATGGAACTTAATATAACCATGTTTGTACTTTCAGTCAGTCTACAGTGTAGACAGTGGATTGGCAGATGCAAGATGGGAATTGGGGTTTAATTTGGCCAGTGGCCAATCTTGTGCCAACCGTCTATAGCCTTTGCTTCCAACTCATGAAATGTGCCTCACATTAGGTTGGGGAAGTGTGACATCACAGGTGAAGATTGTGAAAATCTTGTCTCTCTCATCATCTACAAGAAGCTGAAGTATCTCTCCCTAGTAGAAAATCCTGTGAAGAACAAAGGAGCGATGGTGCTGTGTGAAGCCCTGAAACACTCAAACTGTGCCTTGGAGACCCTGATGTGAGTAGGTCTTGGGGAGTGCCCTTGGGGAGATCCCAGAAGCCTGCATGTGAGTCCAACCATCATAAAGGCCACTGAATGCTCTCTGGGGGAGGCAGGAGATCGAAAGTGAAGTTAGACCTGTATCACTTCTGCATCACAACTGAGGAGTTGTCTTGTCAGTGAGTGGAACAAATGCAAACAGAGGCCCTGTGAAATTGAGTTCAGGAGAGGCAAAACACCCTCTCATCTAATGTGGAGTCTATGGTCTTGGTTATCATGAAGAAGGTTGCTGTCCCTGAATGTATCTGGGGTGCTGGGTCAGAATGTACAGAAGAAAAAGAAATTCACTTGATTCCTTTCCAGTGCAGGCTTAATACATTCTAGGTCATTGCTATTCCTCCAATCTCTTCCGTTTAATTGTTGCTAATCTATGTAGGGAGGTGCCTCCTCTCCTGATGATGGTTGGTCACAGTGGCAGAAGGACAGATTCTCTATTTTCCTAGGGAGGTCACACAAGAAACTTGGTCTTGAGTCAAATGAATGCTGAAGTGTTTAAAACAGGTGATATGCTCAAAAACACCCAAGTCCATGGAGGAGAAAGAGGTGTAGACACAACATTGTTGGTGTCTTGTGCAAGCTGGACAAATATGCACACATAGATCTCAGACACACATATAAGTAAGAGGACTGGAACACTGAAAGCGTCTAATATTTCATTCTTTGGATTTTGGAATAGTTGTATATTATAATGAAATATCTTGATGGAACACCATGTCCAAACACAAAATTCTTTCATGTGCCATATACACTTTGCACACATGGCCTGAAGGTTGCTTTATACAATATTTTCAGTGTACTTGCATCTTTACTGGGAACAGATTCATTGTGGCATCCTGTGGCACTCAAAAAGTTTTGTATTTTGGAGATTTGTGATTTTTTTTTTCAATTATGACTGCTGAGCTTGTAGTAAAAATCCAAGTCAATACTAAAGTTTCTTAGGGGAAAAAAGAACTTTGAGATTAAAGGTCATATGACATACGAGGTAGGAGAGAAATGACATTGGGAGACAAAAGCATCTGGCTATTCAACAACTTAACTAACTGCCTGATGTTCTACAGCAAATCGAATTAAAGTGCACTTACTGGCAGGTAACCATAGTGAGCCACATTGATCAAAAGAGCTCTTTAAAAAAGCATGTATAAAATACTAGAATCTTTAACCCGTAAAAGTAACAGGTTTGGGGTTGGGTGTGGTAGTGGTAGTACATACCTGTAATCATAGCTATTTAGGAGGTAGAGATTGGGAAGATAGTGGTTTGAGGCCAGCATGGGCAAAAAAACTTAGCAAGATCCTGTCTCACTTAATAAGCTGGGAATTGTGGCATATACCTGTGATCCAAAGTACATGGGAGGCATAGGTAGGATTGTGGTCTGAAGCCTTCCCCAGGAAAACTTAACACCCTGTAGAAAAAAATAGCTAAGGCAAAAAAGGGCCAGGAGAGTGGCTGAGGTGGTATATCATCTGTTTAGCAAGCAAGAGGCCCTCAATTCAAACCCAGTATTGCAAACAAAACAAAAACTAGGCTTAAAGTTGAAAGATGTCACTAGTAATCCAAGATACCATTTTCAACAGAGGATTCTTCACGGGGCAGAGTTCTGCAACATGCCAAATGCATGCTGTGGGTGGGAGAACTAGTTCACTGAATGTTTTGCAAAGTAAGTTGGCAAATATATGTGGAAAAGTCTGTGATAGATTTTACAAAAGTGAATCTCAGTATTTCAAAATTTTTTGATGCAAGTTGGAGATTGAGTAGAATTTAAAATGGGAGAAAGTATGAAGAATGGAAGTGGGAATTCTTCAGAGAGGGTTGTAGATTAGTGCAGACACTTGAGACCCTGTTATATGAACACTGAACCATTATGTTGTAAACCTGTCTTATTTAACTGAAAGGTATGAAGTAGGTGCCTTTAGTCTATTCTCAAAAGTGAGAATACCAGAAGGGATTCTCAAAAGAAAGTACTGTTTGCTCATCAAGGACTTGTGCTTCCTTCCTGTCAGACTCTCAGATGCCCTGGAGGGGCTGAGAGAGGGCAGGGGTGAGCTGAATGCTGTCCCAGCCAAGGAGAAGCTGGGATTCCCTGGCCCCTAGGTTTTGCATTTGACCGTCTGGGGTGGGTTTCCAGGCAACTGGCTTTTCTTTCTTTGGTAGCTCAAAGTATAGAACTCATTGAGAAATCCTTTGGTTAAGGTTTGAAAAAGTTAAACTTGATGTTTACTAAACAGAATATATCAGGAGTCATAGTCACTCCTTAGCTACCAGATTATGACTTCTAGTTTCGTTACTTTTAGGACTTCCCACTCTGAGTATGAGACCTCATCACCACGTATGGCTTTTAAATGTTTTCTTCTCTTGAAATTCCCATCACTTTTATTTTCTATTCAGGGGAATTAGTTGTCTGATAATATGTATTTAAGGCATTTACACTGCTTTGATATACAGGTTCAATGGGAAAGTAAGCACAATCAGGTCAATTAACATCGATCACTTCAGAGTTACTTTTTAATGTAGTATAAACAAGATTACTAGCAAATTTCAAGTACATAATATAGTATGTTTAATATTTTTAGAATAAGAATTACTTTATAGGCATGTACATGGTGAAATGTTCACTATATTCAAGTAAATTAACATATTCATCTTAGTTTCACCTTTTCTCTGAAGAGCACCTAAAATTTGTTAGCAGAACCTGAAACAGATAAAATAAAAAGTAAGCAAAGCTGTTCATCCATAGATTCCTTTAACCAGAAGTGCTCTCTGCTGTGAATGGGTTGTTTGTCTAAGCTCAGCCAGTGGTGATTTGAGTACAAACAAATCATAGAAACCATTTTGGTTCCACTGACTGATTTCCATTTTGTCTAGTATCTCTGGTATGAACTTTAATCTTCACTTTCTCCAGTGATGGCAGAGGTCAAGGAACAAGTTGAAAGACTTTGTGTGAGGCATCATGAGATGGTTATCACCTAAACTTACATGTGTTTGTTTGCAGGTTGTCATACTGTGGTCTCTCCTGCACTGCCTGTGACTACTTCTCCCAGGCCCTTTTGTGCAACAGATCTCTGTCTGTCCTTGATCTGGGATCAAATGTCCTAGAAAACAATGGAGTGGCAGTTCTGTGTGAAGCACTGAAGAATCCAGGCTGCAGCCTGCAGGAGTTGTGGTAGGAGTGGCATGGTTCCCTCCACTGCTAGGGCTTCCGTTTTGGGCACTGGCATTCAGAAGGAAGGGAGGTAGAATGATCTGGATGTCTGTATTCTCCCCCCGAAACATATGTGAGGCCTTTGGGGTGATTATCGTGAGGTCAGAGCCCCCATGAATGGGATTTATGTCCTTACAAAAGAGGCACCATCCACTGCCCCATTCCTTCCCACTATCTGAGGACACAGTGAGAAAGTGCCTTCTGTGAACCAGGAATTGGACACCATTCACTGTGTCATTCTGCTAACACCTTGATCTTGGACTTCAAGCCCTCAGAACTATGAAACATACATTTCTATTGCTTATAAGCTACCTGGTCTATGGTATTTTTAAAAATAGCAGCCCAAAGAGAATAGTATGTACTGAAAATGAGGCTAAATGTTTACCCTATGAGACTCTTCTGGGATGCTTAGTGGCTCACTGAAGTGGGAATAGGTTTTGGCAGTAGATGTCAAGATGGGGGTTGCATGTGCAGGTCTGGAGTTGATGTAGGCATCGGAAAGTCCAGGGTGCCCATGACTGGCTGTGGGAACTTGCCCAGGTGACTCCTCTTTCCACAGGTGTATGTGAAGTTAGCCTTAGAAAGAAGTGATGTGCATGTAAGTGCATGTGAGGTGTGTGTGTGTGTATACAAACAGATGTCATGGTTTCTCAATCTTGGTATTACAATATTTTGATATGGATAGTTATCCCTCATGGAGCCTGTACTATGCTTTGTACCCTTAATTACCATCTGTAATCTATCCATCTAGAACCTATCATTTACCTATTTATCATACTCATTTATCCTCTTCCTATCACCATATGCATATTCTCCCTGTAATATTCACCATCTATCATCTTTTTTTTTTTTTATGATACTGGGGTTTGAACTCTGGGCCTCATGCTTGCTAGGTAGGCTCTCTACCACATGAAACACTCTGCCAGTTCAACTCTGGTTTCTATCCACTAAGTTCTTATAGCACCTTCTCCTCCTTTGTGGCAAACTAAAATGTCTCTACAGACTACAAATATTCCCTAGAGGGAAAAATCATGCCTGCTGGAAAACCGTCAACACATATGCATATATACATATGTATGAGATGTATAACACCTTTTTAAAAAAATTTTTATTTTTAATTTTTATTTTATTATAACACCTTTAACAACCATATAACTATGCAGTTGTGTGTGTTTATGTATCTATCTATCTTGTATCCATCTACCTATTTTCTGTAGGCACAGAAAATACAGATTATAGATATGCAGGAAATACAACTACCTTATCTATCAACATATTAACTACCTATCATATACCTGTTACATCTTCCTCTCACTCTCATCTGTCCAAATGTCACACATCTGTCAATTATTGATCACCTCTTTCACCACATACTATCCATCATTCATCTAACATTTACCTAATGGCTATCAACTCTTTAACATGTTTCTGTCCACCACTTATCTATGCCACTGTTCTCCATCTTCTGTCTGCTACTTCATGTGTCTGTGTCTGTCTTACATGGATGAACGTACCATGGGGAATTATGATCTTGTGGCCCAGCGAGGCACTGAGGACATGCTATTTAAAATATTCATAGGTCTCACCAAAAAAAGTGACATATGCAGCTTTGAAGGCAGAGATGAGGTGGCTCTGCTGAGCATTTTAACCAGGGAGAACAAGATCAGAGGCTCCAGAGGAAAAGAACCCTCTTCAGGGAGACAGAGAAGAGAACAGTAGACAACTGGAATATCATTAGCAGTATCGCAAAAATGCTTAGGTATTCATGTGAACAACTGATGAGCTAACGTGTATTTCTCCCCAGGTTGACAGGTTGTTATCTCACATCTGATGGCTGTAAGAACATCTCTGCTGCTCTCATTTGCAATGAAAAACTACATACCCTAAAACTTGGGAACAATAACATACAGGATGCTGGTGTCAAACACTTATGTGAAGCTTTGAGGCACCCTAAGTGTAAATTACAGAGGCTGGGGTGAGTATTTACTGATGATCATGGTGGGAAGGGCTCCCTATTTAAAGAGTGAAAACCAGAGGACCAATAGGTTTTAAAGCAGTCTGCCTAGCATAGTCTTATAATACTGTCTCATAAATACAGCATTTGCACAAATGTGGTACTACGAACACACAGGCATTGTTAGTCTTTGTACAGTACACGATCCTGAGAATGTTCTGCACCCCTGGCCACTATCCACAAGTTGCCTATACCATCTTCAGCTGGGGCAAATGTCCCTGGTTCTTGGCATATGTCCCCCAGGGGGCACAGTCACCCTGGTTGAGAACCAGGGGTTCAGATCTTAATGTCTCCTACTCGGAGGTAGGGAACAGGCATGGAACAGTGGTCTGTGTTCCTGTCTCTGGTGTGCTTCCTGTTACAGGCTGAACATGTGTCAGCTCACCAGTGAATGTTGTGAAGGTCTTGCCTCGGCTCTCACTTTCTGCAAAACACTGAGGGGACTGAACCTTGACTGGATTACCTTGGACCATGATGGAGTACTGGTGCTGTGTGAGGCTTTGAGTCACCATGACTGTGCCCTGGAGACACTTGGGTGAGTGGATGCTGCATACCATGGTGGTGAGTGACTCCAAAGTGAAGTTCATCAGCTGTCTGTTTGCTCTGCCGTGGCCCGATGGACACTGGGTGGAGAGCTCTCTGCTGTGGGAGCTGCCTTGCACTGTAGGTGCTGAGGGTCTTCCTTGTCCTCTCCCCACCTGTCAGATGCCCACACCATCACCTTCCACCTGGGATCACCAAAAACATCTATGAGCATTGACAGATATCCTTTAGATCCAACTGCCAGGCTAAGGACCACTGCTCTAACACAACCCCCTCTGTATATTGCCCATAAATGTGCAGTCTAGCCCAGTCAGAAAGGGGCTCTGAAAGATTTGGGCAGAGTCTTGAATCAAATACTCACTGAAGAGCAGCACTGAACATAGTTCTGAACATTGCGGTGCATTTAGAGAATCCATTTGACATGTGTAGGATGATGTTTGAATGCCTGGTAGGATGCTGTGCTGAGGATGTGGCTGTGAGAAAACTGGTTCATGTATCAGCTTCATCTCTAGATTATACCCTGGGTCTGTGAGAGTAACATGTGAGGGATAAAGAGGGAGAGGTTGAAAAGTGCTGGGTGCAGGTAGACGGGACAATTGAAGATGCAGAAGAGTCGGGTTGAAATGGGCAGCCACATTCAAAAGAGCCTGGCAGATCGAAGCTCCTCAACCACACTAATCCTCTTTATCCTCACAGTAGCTGTGAGGGCACTCAAGTTTCCCTTACAGATGGGAGCACCAATGTTCTAAGTAGAGTGAGTCTTTTCCTTAAGGGCTCATGGCTAGAGGTTGTATAGCTTAGACCTTGAAGGGAGATGGCACTCTGGCTCTTAACCAAGATACTTGAGCAGAAATGCTCCCAACATGGGTAAGATAGTTCTGAGTGGGGTTGAATGGAATCACTTGAAGATGTAGGGAAGAAAACCCAGGTGAGGGATTCAGTAAGTACAAGGCCATGAGGTGAGGCCAGGCTCTACAGTCTTAGAAGACATGAGGAGCTGTGCAGAGTAAGAGAAATGGATTCAGAGGAGAAACACACCAATTCTAAAGGGACAGGTAAGGCATCAAGATGAGCTATCAAATGTGCATGTCTCCCTCTTACTCAACCACCATTCTCCCATCCAAATCATCGCATCTTTTATACATCAGCTGACATTCATACAATTTCTTACCAGATATCCAGTGTTCACATATATGTACAACTGAAAGGACATTGAACTATCTTCCCTACTTCTGAAAATCCAAGGGTATAAAACTCCCTTCTCTTGTGTCTATGTGACTGAGTGTTTGGAGTCTGCAAACACCCTACAGCTTCCTTATGTTGTTGGGGGTGATAAGATACCTGATTATGTACATGAGGCAAGACAGATGCTCAGAGTCTGGAAGGGAGGGGAATATTGGTAAAACTGGTCATGTTCTTTAAGAAATATTTGTTTCCATTTCACCACTTATTTGGGAATTCTTTGGCATTTCTATACCTTGAGGCTTTTAGGCATTTAGAAGTCAGAGATCAATGAATGATCTAACCTATCAGCTGGCCAGAGAGTAGGAATATCAGAAGGAAGTGTTGTCCCAAAATCCTTGGAGAAAAATATTCCAAGAAAGAAAATATAACTATCCATATAGAATTCTGACTGGTTAAGAATTTATAAAAGCATTTGATAATGTTTGGTATCTATAAAAACCAGCACTATTGAAGTGGGCTCAGGTGACAATAATGTGAAGGAAAGAGAAATAGACCAGATCTGAAGTACCTATGGGTGAAATTGTATATAGCATTTGCTTTAAAACATCTCATAATAATTAAGCATGGCACAAATGGAACACTCATTACCAATAACTGTTCAAGATGCTGATGGATACACCAATTTATTATAGCAGTGTATTTATACATTTGAGAAAAAAATCAATTTTGCATTAAGTTAAAAAACCCTAATGTATCAGGAATAACTAATGTACCTGGACACTTAAATATTCAATGATTAGAAATTGTCATTTACTTCAAGTTTTTTGACTCAAGTGTTAATCTCTTGACACATGTTTTATATGGATTTGACTATCATATAAAGAGAGTTCCTACGCTGCAGGAAAGATCCATGCTTTCCCTGTAGCATGCTTGTCACTGAAGACAGTTCTCCCAGTCATTTCTAGGCAAGCATGAAGAGGACAGGCAGGCATAGGATGTAGAGAGATAAATGATTCTGTGTACAGAAAACATTATTTCTATTTTCCAGTCTGGACAAATCTTCATTTGGCGAGGAAACTCAAATGCTGCTCCAAGCTCTGGAGGAGAAAATCCCCCACCTGACAATCACTCATCATCCTTGGTTTGAAGAAGAGCTGAGGATGAAGGGTGTTCCTCAGTGAACACTTAGAAGTAATACTTTCACCAAGGCTTTTCCTTTGTCACTATGGACATTTCTCCCCTGTCACACCCTTTCCCAAAATCTTATGGCATAGTAGCTGTGACTTCAGAACTACTCCTTCACTGTGTCCTACATGACTGCAATATTTAGTACAACAAATACATTAAATGAGTATTGAGCATGTCATAAAGTATGGATTTATTTTTCATGGATATCTGAAGTATTGAAGGATCTTTGATTCTCTTATACATCAGACTTGAGAGTGATATTTGAATATCTACACATGGTACTGGTACAACTATATCATCCATCCAAACTTCCTATCTATTGCTTGTCTAGATGAACCATAATCCTGAAATATAGAAATACCATAATCCAGAATGTTCAAAGCATGAAGGTCAGTATCCCTATTTAAAATTCTGAAAGATTAGAATCATAAACATAAAATTCTGGAAAAAGTAATTTCAAAAATTTGAAAAGTTTATAAAACTACATTTTAAGAGACTTTGAGAAACATAACCTATGAAGTGTTCTGCTATATTTATTTTGGATAATAAAATAGGCAACAATGACATTTTTTTGCAAGAGAAGTACTTGGGTATACTAATCACAGGTACACAGGTCTGTTGATTATGAGTAGGAGGACTGTATTCATAAAGAAAAAGGCCATAAAGTGAAATGTATAAGTGGACATCACTATAGTTTATAGCTAGCTATATGCACCCACCTTTTAACCACATTAATCTGAAATACCTTGATAGAAAACTTGTATTTTGACAAGTTTGGTTTAAAACTATGGTGGATCATTACCATACAATTACAGTTGCCCAAGGAACTGATTTTAGAAAGTTATTCACAAATGAAGACATACAAAAGGGCTGGTCTCATTTACTGGCTTGATCTTTTATCTAGAATTTTGAGATGCAGCATTAGGTCATTTGAGATCTATGTGCTTTTAATGTAGGCACCCATAGCTATAAACTTTCCTCTTAGCACTGCTTTGGTTGTATCCCATAGGTTCTAGTAGGTTTTGTTTTCATTTTCATTAAATTACAGGAGCTCTTTTATTTCTTCCCTTAATTCTTTGACCCTCTGGTTGTACAGCAACATGTTTAGTCTCCATGTATTTGACACATACTTGAAACATTTTCTGTAGTTAGTTTTGAGTTCTAGTATCATTCTGTTGTATTCAGAGAGAATGCAAGGAATTATTTAAATTTTCTTAATACTTTGTGTTCTAAAATATCTGTTTTGGAGAAAGTTCTATGGGCTACTTAGAAGATCTGTTAGATCAAATATTCTATAGATGTCTGTTAAGTCCATTTGGTCTATGGTATCATTAATTCTGAAGTTTCTTACTTTTTTTGGTCTGGAATGACCTATCTCTTGGTGACAGTTGGCATTGAAGTCTCATGCTATCATGATGTTAGAAATACATCTTTTAAGTCCAGTAGTGTTCAATGAAGCTGGGTGTGCCAACGTTAGATGCATACAACTTAACAATTGTTATTTCCTCTTGATACATTTTTCCTTTTATTAGTATGGAGTGACCTTTGTGTCTTCTAACTTAGGTTTGAAGTCTACTTTAAGTATAGCTACCACTTACATTTGCTTGGAAAATATTCTGCCATTCTTTCACTCTAAGCCAATGTTCATGTTAGTGAGATACACTTCTTGTGGGGAACAAATTGTCAAGTATTACTTTTTAATCCATCTTGCCAATCTCTTTCAATAGGGGAATTGAGACCATTAACATTCATTGTCAATATTGTGAACTATGTGGTAATTCTGCCATTTCATTGCTTTTAAAAAAAATTAAAATATTTATGTAGTGTTTGGTTCTTTCCTACTCTCCATTTGCTTATTTACTCATTTGGTGAGATCTGTTATTTCCCATACTCTCATGGCTATGTTTATCTTTGGTATATAGGAGTTCTTTGAATATCTTCTGGAATGTTGGTTTAGTGATCATAAATTTTAGTTTGTTTGCTATGGAAGGTTTTTATTTCTCCAGTTATGAAAAGCTTTGCTGGGTAGAGTAATCTAGGTTTGAAATTTTCTTTCACTGCTTGAAATACCTCATTCTATGCCCTTTAAAAAAGGTTTTTCTTGAGAAAACTGATGGGTTTACCTTTATAGGTGACTTAACATTTCTCCCGTAGTTTTCAATATCTTTATTTATTCCCTGTACTTACTGGTTTCAACTATAATATGCCATGGAGACGTTCGATTTTGGTTGGCTTTTGGTGTTTTAAGGGACTCTTGTATCTATACTGGCATCTTTCTGAAGATTTGGGAAGTTTTTGGCATTTTGTTGAATGTTTACTATGACTTAAGCATGTGCTGCCGTTTCACTGCCCATGATTTGTAGGGTTGGTCTTCTAATGGAGTCAGAGTTTTTTTGCATATTCATTTGTATCTCTTTATTATACTATTTCTATTTGCCTTCAAGCCCTGAAATTCTATCTTCCACTTGGTCAGGTCTGTTGGAGAATCTATCAACTGAATTTCTTATTCGATTTAAAGAGTTTAATTTCCAGAGCTTCAATTTTTTCCTGGTTTTCTACATCTTAATTGAATTCTTCTTTCATGTTTTGTACTGTCTTATTTCATCTAGCTCTTGATTTGTATCTCATTGGATTTATTTCACCGTTTGTATCCTCTTTCATTCATTTAGTTTCTCTGAATTCTCACTGAATTCATTTTATTTCTATTCTATTTCATTGACATGTTTTTGCACATGTTCTTTCATCTCATTAATATCATTCTTTTGAGCTCAGAAATTGAGAGTTCATTACCTTTCACTATCCATCAGATCCTTTGTGTGATTGTTGACCCTTCAAGGAGTTATACTTCCTGGTTTTTCATATATCTTATGTCTCTATTTTGAGATTTGTGTATCAATTGAGATTTATCAATTGTTTGGGGGATTTTAATTACCTAAAGTCTTTCACTGATTGAAAAACCTTACTCTATGCCTTTTGGGACCTTCTTGCCCTTGAATTATTTCCTATGTTCTTGCAGGTCTGATTAGTGGCTTGGTTGTTGTGCTGTTCCTTACCACTAACCTGGGGCTATAATTTAGCAATAACCACTTCACTGATTCAATACCAAACCAGATATTTACATGAAGTAGAATACTTCTGGTGGTACTACCTACATATCTTTTTAATTTAATTTAATTTGTATGTACATACAATGTTTGGGTCATTTCTCCCCCTTTCTACCACCCCCTCCCTTAGCCACCCCACCCCCTTCCTCTCCCCCCTTAGCCACTCGCTTCTAAGCAGAAACTATTTTGCCCTTACCTCTAATTTTGTTGAAGAGAGAGTATAAGCAATAATAGAAGGGACCAAGGATTCTTGCTAGTTGAGATAAGGATAGCTATACAGGGAGTTGATTCACATTGTTTTCCTGTACACGTGTGATACCTTCTAAATTAATTCTTCTCAAACTAACCTTTTCTCTAGTTCCTGGTCCCCTTCTCCTACTGGCCTCTGTCGCTTTAAAGTACTGCATTAGTTTCTCTGTGTTAAGGGCAACAAATGCTATCTAGTTTTTTGGGTGTCTTGCCTATCCTCATACCTCCCTTGTGTGCTCTCGCTTTATCATGTGATCAAAGTCCAATCTCCTTGTTATGTTTGGCCTTGAGCTAATGTCCACATATGAGGGAGAACATATGATTTTTGGTCTTTTGGGCCAGGCTAACCTCACTCAGAATAATGTTCTCCAGTTCCATCAATTTACCTGTGAATGATAACATTTCATTCTTCTTCATGGCTGCATAAAATTTCATTGTGTATAAATACCACATTTTCTTAATCCATTTGTCAGTAGTGGGGCATCTTGGCTGTTTCCATAACTTGACTATTGTGAATAGTGCTGCAATAATCATGTGTGGGCAGGTGCCTCTGGAGTAACCTGAGTCACATTCTTTTGGGTGTATCCCCAAGAGTGGTATTGCTGGATCATATAGTAGATCTATGTTTAGATTTTTAAGTAGCCTCCAAATTTTTTCCAAGAGTGGTTGTACTAGTTTACATTCCCACCAGCAGTGTAAGAGGGTTCCTTTTTCACCACATCCTCACCAACACCTGTTGTTAGTGGTGTTGCTAATGATGGCTATTCTAACAGGGGTGAGGTGGAATCTTAGTGTGGTTTTATTTGCAATTCCTTTATTGCTAGAGATGGTGAGCATTTTTTCATGTGTTTTTTGGCCATTTGAATTTCTTCTTTTGAGAAAGTTCTGTTTAGTTCACTTGCCCATTTCTTTATTGGTTCATTAATTTTGGGAGAATTTAGTTTTTAAGTTCCCTATATATTCTGGTTATCAGTCCTTTGTCTGATGTGTAGCTGGCAAATATTTTCTCCCACTCTGTGGGTGTTCTCTTCAGTTTAGAGACCATTTCTTTTGTTGAGCAGAAGCTTTTTAGTTTTATGAAGTCCCATTTATCTATGCTATCTCTTAGTTGCTGAGCTGCTGGGGTTCCATTGAGAAAGTTCTTGCCTATACCTATTAATTCCAGAGTATTTCCTACTCTTTCCAGTACCAACTTTAGAGTTTGGGGTCTGATATTAAGATCCTTGATCCATTTTGAGTTAATCTTGGTATAGGGTGATATACATGGATCTAGTTTCAGTTTTTTGCAGACTGCTAACCAGTTTTCCCAGCAGTTTTTGTTGAAGAGGCTGTCTTTTCTCCATCATATATTTTAGTGCCTTTGTCAAAGATAAGTTGGTTATAGTTGTGTGGCTTCATATCTGGGTCCTCTATTCTGTTCCACTGGTCTTCATGTCTGTTTTTGTGCCAGTACCATGCTGTTTTTATTGCTATTGCTTTGTAATATAGTTTGAAGTCAGGTATTGTGATACCTCCAGCATTGTTCTTTTGACTGAGTATTGCCTTGGCTGTTCGTGGCCTCTTGTGTTTCCATATAAATTTAATGGTAGATTTTTCAATTTCTTTGGTGAATGTCATTGGGATTTTGATGGGAATTGCAT